TACCTGGTGAGTTTATCTTTCAAATTAACATACACAGTGATAAATATAGACTGGTCAAACGATAGGCTTAACCTCTTTAGAATGGAAGCATAATTGGAATTGTTAATATTTCCAGATTATCATGTTTTCCTAGTAAGATATTACATTTTATGTTTATTTTCACAAACATTGTGTTTTAATGTGACACACATATTAATGGAGGAATCACACAAGTGACAGGAAACACTGGGGCCGTGAGAGGATCTTCTGATGCAGTCAAGACAGAAACCTCTAGGGCCAGAGCAGCTTTAGCAGGAACCTCTGGGACCAGGGAGGTTGGGAGATGAGCTCTGCGATTGGAGCAGCTTTAGACATAAGCTCTGACTTGAGTTTCTGACAGGAAACGCTGAGGCAGCCTCGGCTGAAACATTGGCAGCTGTGGCATGAACAGGGCCGTCCTTAGCTGACGCAGGGCCCCCTCAGTCTGTTCGCGATCACGTTCTTTTCCACCTCGGTCTGTTCGCGATCGCGTTCCTTTCCCCCTCGGTCTGTTTGCGATTGCGTTCCCGGGGGGCAGGGGTGGTCCCCCTCGGTCCGTTCGCCACGGGGCTCGGTGCAACCGCACAAGTTGCACCCCCCTAAGGATGGCCCTGGGCATGAATTTTAACACCATCATGAGAGGAACCTTCGTGGCACACATGATGGGAAGCTTTGCAACTGTAGCTGTTATGACACAGAGCTCTGAGACCATTGCAGGTTCTGGGGTTGCAGCAACAGAAACATTCGGGCCGGGACAAGAAGCTCTGCGACCAGGGCTGCTCTGAAAAAGTACCATGTCAAGTAAACTCTGTCTTGCCTTTGATTGGGTTCTCTCTGACCTCAGCAGGTTCTGGAACAGCAGCGTCAGGAACTTTTATGGAGGCCTTCAGAGTGATTTTTGCAGTGGCCCTGACAGGATCTCTGAGCCCAAGGTGGCTGAGAAAGTCCTCCATGACCCTGTCCTCCATGACTTACAGGGGGACCTGAAACACAATTATAAATTGTACAAATTAGACAAAATTTCACAAGGTATAAACATACAACTTGTTATTTATGCAGTGTATGAGGATTGACTATATGAGTTGCTGCAGGTATTGAAAAGTAAAATAAGGAAGCTAATGTTCATATTCAGATAATCAAACTAAACCACCAAAAAGCCAAAAAATACACACAAAAATATTAATATGTCTTCAAAATCATTTTAGCTTGTTTTTGACTAGGTACCTTAAACCAGTCATGGAAGAGCATCTCCTCCAGATGAAGCCTCTGCTCTTGGTCGCTCTTCAGACAACCTCGGATAAAACAGCAGCATTCTGTGCAGAAAGATGGACAGATGTCCGATTATTACCTTCAACATTACACGCTTTCTAAGCTGTAAAACTGAGAAAGATTCCTGCATTATCCATAAGGACATCTTTTATAAAGTTGTTTTGTCTAATTAAAAATGAATTGAAATGAAGATATTACCATCAGAGAAGCCTGGCTGGAACCAGATATCAGTGTCCATCAAACTGATATCGCTGCTTTTGGGGAAAAGGCTGGTGATCATGCGGAACAGGAGCACTCCCAGTGATCACACCGTTGCCTGTTTCCCATGGTACTCGCCCTTCTCAAAATATTCAACAGGGCAGTACCTCGCTGTCCCTGGAGGAAAGAGTTTGTTAAATGTTAAGTTTGCTTTGCCACTGCATGTTTTCTCACTTTACTCTGACTGCATTTAATAATAGTCAATAAAAAAATATTATGACTGGCTTTTATTCTTCTGGAATGTTGTTAGTTCATTATTAGTTCATATCTCGTCTGATTAAGATATGGAGTCACTGGTCACTAGAGTTTAAGTCCCAAAGTACATGTTTGAAAAATAATACGTACCACTGTAGGTTTTGTATGATGTGCTTTTCAGGAGGTCCCTACAGCCAAAATCAATCAGCTTGACCTCCAGGGTCTCTGTGTTGACCAGGAGGTTCGGCATCTTGATGTCGCGATGGAGGACCCCCCGGGAACAGCACACAGCAGCAGCGTCGATAACCTGCTGCATGAAATGACGGGCCATCCCCTCACTGAAGAGGCCATCATAATGCAGCCAAAAATCATGCATGTCCATGCAGGATGAGGGCCGCTCTAAGACCATAATGTATTGGTTGGGATGGTCCCACCAGTCCAGTAACTATGTGGCGACAGCTGGGGTCTTGATTGGCCAAGACTGTCAGGGCCACCTCTAGAGGTACTGGTCTGGGATGGTCAGGCTAGAAGAAAGACCGTTTTTATGACGGTTAGATGGAAGTGATTTCTCAAATAAGGATTTTGCGCAGTCTGTTTGAAATATTAATTATTTGATTCTGTGATCACATTAAACGAAAATGTTATGATCTGCAATCAATGACTAACAGGCGATGACACAGAGAGCACAGTTCACTTACAAGGCTGATGTATGGATTTCACAGCCACCTGAAGGCCGTCCTCACAGCGGGTCCCTTCATATACAGAGCCGTATGATCCTTCCTCCAACTTCTTGGCAATAACATATTTCCAGCAAATGTGGTCTAGTTAAACATAAATATAGTTATTTTTACATTTTTAATTATATAATAAAGCAGTGTCCTGCAGAGAGGCAAGTCATTCTTATTCTAAAACTAATTTAACATTGTTTGGAATTCTCATATAATCACTATACTTGTACTTTTATAATAATTGATACACTTTCTATCTATTATAAACATACTAATATAAATAATAATCATATATATATATATATATATATATATATATATTACACAAAAAGTTAATAGGAAAATAAAAAAAAACAGTAAATAAAAAGTTAAATATTAAAAAATGTAAAAAAAAAAAAAAACGTTAAATAATGCTCAACACAAATATTAACAATAGTGAACTATATTAAAACAACTATATACACTACAATAAATAAAAAATATATACATTATTTGGGAACAGTTCTCCGCATTTGCTCCAACCACTGTTCTTTTGTAATAGTCTCAGTCTGTGGGCAGTACACCTTGCCCCTGTACTGGCTATGTCCTGTTGCACTGGTTTTGAACTGTCGAAAGGCCTTTTTCTTAAATATCAATCAGATGACAGAGGGCACGTTTCAAGAAAAAAATTTGATCATGTTGATAATTTACAGGTCTAAAACACAGATATAGTAGACTTCATAGGCTTAAATATAAAATATTGACTGAGATTACACAGAAATTGCAAGTTAATTAACAATAATAATCGATGAAACAGTTTTGAAAGAATAATTAAAAACGACACACTAATTTAAAAAAACAAACATGTAGAAGTTTGCAATTAGATTATCATTTATTTTTTTTTTACCTGTTGTCGTCCGCTGTATTTGGTTTTAAAAAAAATCAAAAACCGGTGAAATATCGGGTGGTGTGCACTTCCGAATGTTCAGCAATTCGTCTCTGGTGAAACTGATTGCAGGGATATAACTAAAGACAGGACAAACTAACAGGTGGTGTGTACTTCCGAATGTCCAGCAATTTGTCTCTGTTGAAACTGATTGCAGGGATATAAGTAAAGACAGGACAAACTAACAAAAACATAAAAACAACTGCGGAGCACGCCACGGAGGCAGCCATCAGCGTCGGCGCCATCTTAAAGACTTAAATATTAAGTGAATTAAGAAATTCCATCAAGCAATGAATCATATTTCCATGTGCTGCAGTGCACAGCTGCAGGGGCGGCACAGGACAGAAACACATGTCAAGGATGTTATAGGACCTCCCCTGGATCCACAGCAGCTGCCGTGAGTCTTACTAACATTACCGCAGAGTTCTTTGTCCCTATTGGAAATTGTCTGTGGCTAAGTGATATATTTCGTTCTCAGAGACAGGCCTAGATGTGTTTCATTTTAAATTAAGTTTCCATTTCAGAAGTTTTATGCATTTTTTTTAAAAAAAAATCCATTTCGCATTTGTTTCCTATATATTTTATGAGATCCCCTAGATGGCACCAGCTGCCCTCTTCATTTCCTCTGTATCGTGACGTTTAGAGTCGACACTTACAGTCTCCAGTGACTGAGGCTCTTCACATGGCTCCATCTGCATTTTCTTACTATCATCTGATGACCACTCTAACTCAGGGGTGTCAAACTCAATTACTGGAGGGCCGGCGCCCTGCAGAGTTTTGTTCCAACCCTGCTCCAATACACATGCCATGTAGCTTTCAAATAAGCCTGAAGGACTTGATTAGTTGGATCAGGTGTGTTTAATTAGGGTTGAATCTAAACTCTGCAGGGCTCTGGCCCTCCAGGAATTGAGTTTGACACCCCTGCGTCTAACTCTAAGTTCGGTCCTAGAGAGCCGCAGTCCTGCAGAGTTCAGCTCCAACCCTAATCAAACACACCTGAACAAGCTAATCAGTGTCTTCAGGATTACTAAGGCTATAGGCAGGTGATTTTTTTTTTCAGGGTTGGAGCTGAACTCTGCAGGACTGCGGCTCTCTAGGACCGAACTTGCCTACCCCTGGTCTAACTGAACTGAGGAACTGGTAACATTCAGATGCTTAAGATTTTCTGTTGACCAATACATTAGTGGGTCAGACAGCCATTGGGATCTGATGGATATGGTGGTGAGAAGTGCTCAGATTTGTGCATTATTTGTGTATTTGCCTCCAAGGCTGAAAGAATTTCATTTTAAATGAGTAGACAAATGAACAAAAAAATCAAGAGTAAATATTCCAGATTTATTATTTTAAAATAAAACGATCCATGTAAAGAAAGAAAGAAAGAACAAGAAAAATATGTAGGACATATATTCTCTTAATTTTTTTTTTACAATTTTACAGGAGTTTTGACACTTAAAGGGATACTTCACACAAAAATGAAAAGTCTATCATTATCTACTTATAAAATACACCTTTTTGGGATATTTCAGCCCTAGTTTCACCCATTTTTGGGTGAACTATCCCCTTCTCAAATCAGAAATGAACAATATTAAAGACTTGCAGGATGTGTGTGTGTGTGTATTAAGGTAAAAAAGGTTTTTGTGTCTATTCCAGGGTGTAGATGTTCTCCTCCACTGGCCTTCTTGTGCGTATTTCATAAATAATGTGTCGGGGCTCCTTTGAAAAACTGAGGTTCAAAACATAGCAGTCATTGTGATTACACTGTTACAAATGGCATTGTGGTATTCTCAAAGTGAATCACATGCATGCACTTACCACCCACTGTCAAAGGCCTTCCTATAAAAGCCACCTGAATCAGAATATATCTATTTATTTTCAGTACAGAATACATTATACGTTCATAACTTACATATAATAGCATTTTCATTAAATAAATGTCTAGCATTCATAGTTGAGTGTTATACATACGTTTGAAGGTCAAAAAGGCCAGTGCACCCAAGAGGAGCAGTAGCAGACTGAGAGACAGAGACAGAACTGGGATGTTTATCTGTAGCGTGATCCTAGAGATCGGCTCCTCCATCTTTAAAAGAAGGGTTTCATCATTTTAAGTTGCATTTTGGGTTTTCAGTTCAGTTCAAAAACAATGTTATAAAAAGAGATTCCATAAGAGTCAGTTCCTCAACAAAATATTTCAAAAGTTACTTCCATGCTATTTATGCACATCCTTTAATTTGACTGCATTTATTTGATCAAAAACACAGTAAAAACAGTAAGAAAATACAGTAAATTGTGAAATATCAAAATACAATATGAAATAGCCATTTTCTACTTTCATATGTTTTAAAATGCAATTTATTCCTGTGATGTCATTACTGCAGTCTTCAGTGTCACATGATTTTTCAGGAATCATCAATCTGGTGCTCAAAAAACATTATTTTATTATTGCTATTTAATGTTAAAAACAGTTGTGCTGCTTAACATTTTTGTGGACACATTTTTTCAGTATTATTTGAAATAGAAAGTTCAAAAGAACAGCATTTATTTGAAAGAAATCATCCCTAACATTGTCTTCACTGCACGTTTAGCATCCTTGCTGAAAAAAAGTATTACTTTCTTTAAAATCTTTCTGATCCCAAATTTTATAGTAGTTTGTATATAAATAGATAGATAAGTGAGATGTAACAAACTTTATACAGCATGCTGGAAATTATATGTCGCAAAACACAATGACTCGGTGACTCATAAGGTTGCTCATAATATTACTCACAATATTTTTCACTTTTCTGCATAATAAAACAATGGCAGGAGAAACACAGAGAGAAGTGATTTAATCTGCAGAATTTATTATTGATTACTGTAATTGATCATTACATTGACTAAAATGATAATTGTGTATAGAGGAGGTTCCATTAGAATCTTAACAGCAATATGCTCATTTTCCATATACTGTGTTTGAGCACCAGTAACTCACCATAGCCCCAGAATGCACATGGGTGACATTCTGCCAGGAAATGTCAGAGAATGATGAGTCTGCTCCTCTGGACTGATCTGACAGCGAAGACACTAGGAAATTCAGAGCGAAAGTCAGAAATCGCTCATGCCGGTTGATGCGTGAGAAACATTATCTCTACCCACAAGGGTCTTTGACATTTGAGTTATTGCGCCATGTGGTCTCTCATGACACTCAAAAGTCTGTGTGCAAGTGCAACTGAAATGCAACTGGTGATTAATCATATATTGTGGTTTGACTGAATGCTAAAACCAAGGGTCTAAGGAAAAAAAACTTGCATGACACTTGCAAATCACGTATAAAGGAATTAGCTGTTAAAAGCAGTCAGCAGAATTGATTTCTAAGGTAAGACACTAGGCAAAAACAGTTTTTTCAGGCACTGATGAATTTTGATATTCGGGCTATTTTGCTCCCATAGCTTGTTCTTTCAGACTGCACTTAATACACATTGAATTTGTGTCTTTGGAATTCAATTACAATACATTTTTAAACACAATTTTCTTGAATTGAGCTTTTCTCATGATCTAAAACAAGAATTATTCACTTATATACACCAAACTCTATATTCTCAACCAATTGTTTTGAACCTGGCTTTATCAATGTTCAGATTTATGTTCTGGAAATGTATGCAAATTAATGCATATTTAATGACATAATGCCTAATTTGCATATTTCAACAACTTTTGAGATAACTAACAAAACAATTGTCTTAATGCACCTCACCTGTCTCCATTGGTTCTGTAGTAATCGGGGTCGTGGTTGTTGGAGGCACAGTCGTTGAAGCTTCAGAAATGAAAATTCATGAAGATTTATTATAGTAAAATAGAAGCTCTCCAAACGTTTTCCAACTTTAAAGCATCTGAACGACTTGCCTTTCATGACCCTCAACGTGTAGGACATCTTCTTGTCATTGAAAAACCCTTCGATGTCCACTCTACAGCAGTACAGCCCGCTGTCTGTCTTTTGTATTTTTTGGATCCCCAGGTCCATTTGTCCTGATAGAACATCTCCGATGAGCTTGTACCTGTCTGAGACTTTGGAGATGACGCCGTACTCATCTGTTTGCACGATGATGTCGTTGCACCAGAACGTTCCACAATCCCGTCCCCAGCAGACGTGGCTCAGGCCATGGTGCTTCACTGAGTAATGGCACGGCAAAATCACTGTGCTACCCTCCGTCACGTGAAACGCCAACACAGAGGAGCCATCAGCTGCAAAGAACAAAATTAACAACATTTCAGAGGTTTTATATATATATATATATATATATAAAATCTGCCTATCTATCTATCTGTATATCTATCTATCTATCTATCTATCTATCTATGTCTGCGTGTGTGTGTGTGTGTGATTTTACAGTAACCATCTTGGCAAATCCTTTTGTTTTCTTTTTTATTATTTATCTTTTATTTTCTTTTATTTTACTACTTTTTTGTAAGTAATATTTTCTATTAAAGGGGTCATATGATGCGATTTCAATTTTTCCTTTCTCTTTGGAGTGTTACAAGCTGATTGACACAGACTGTAAGTACGTTTTCATTTTAAGGATTTACCACTGATGATTCAAACGCGAGTTTTGAGCAGTGTAGAGTAGCCACTCACTGAATCCCGCCGTGTGTGACACTGTGTGTTTCGTTGTGAAAGCGAATCTACTTTGTTTGGCCTTCCAAAAGAGGACACGACTAGAAATCAGTGGTTA